CGTGCGGACGGCACGGGCGCTCGGGACCAAGGACTTGCACGTGCTGGCCGACGGGGCGGCGCTCTTCGTGGAGGAGGTCTCGCCTGCCAGCGAGACGAGCTTCTTCGACAAGGGCGTCTCAGGGGACGCTCGCATCATGGCCATGCGCCGGAACAGCCAGGGCAGGCGCGAGCGGACCTGGGCCGCGATGGTGGCGGATGTGGCGCGCGAGGACTTCACCAACGATTGGGATCTGCCGGGGCCACGCGCGCTCCACGCTGTGGTGCCCCGAGTTCGTGAACCAGGAGGGGCTCGGGCTGGGCGGGCACCGCGAGCGCTTCAGGAGCGCGCGAAAGCTCGAGAGCTCGAGCTGGGGCGTGTCAGAGCATTATTGCGTCGCGCAGGCCTTGGAGCTCGGGCTCTTGACCGACCAGGTCGACGGAAGCAACCCCATGATGGTCGAGAGCCTCTTCCGCCGCCCCCAGACGATAGAGTTCGCTCACTCCGAGCGAGCTCGCGAGCAGGAGGCGAAGGGCTGCGGCGGCAAGCTGAGCCCGGAGGAGCAGATGGCCTTCGCGGGCTCTTCCCGCGCGGGGGGCGCCCCTGGCCAAGAACCCCCGGAAGGCGAGAGAGGAGCGCGAGGCGGCTCGCAAAGACGACAAGAGTAAGAAGGGCAATGACAACGGGTGACGGCCGTCGTTCTTGGCCACGCCCCGTCGTGCAGGCCGCGGGCATGACGGGGCCCGCTGGCCCGCGCGGCTCGCCTCCAGCTGGCGCGCCTGAGCTACCCCGACCTTCGGGTGATCCCGCGAGCTGGGCTCCGGGGCCCACCAGCGAAGCTTGCCAATTAGACTCCCGCACTCATCCTCCTTCCTCCTTTCCTCCCGCGTCTGACCGACGCGTGCCCCGCGAGCTGCCCCCCCTTCCCCGTGGAGAGGTTTTCAGTGTTTCTCGAGCGCGCGCCTGTAAGATGTCACGTGGCCCACGGCACAGGCTGGGCAGGCGACAGGGCGAGGATCGTGAGGTCGATCCAGCGGTCTGGGGTTTGAATTCATTCTACTCGCATCAGCCGCAGCCCCCACCTCGCACCTCTCGGGGGCTGTCTTCGGATCGGGCCCGCGACGGTGGCACTTTTTTGCCCGCATCTGCTGGTCAGGCCGGGGTGTTGGACCGAGTCCGATGCGCCGTGCGTGACCTCGGCCCTCCTCCTGAGGGGTCACTCCCGCGGAAGCTCTGAGGAAGCTTCGCGTGGCGAGCTGGTGCGATGTGGATGGTACTACGCTCGGTCGCTACTCTCTCGCCGACGTCTCACTGCCGTCAGGCAATCCCAGGCCTGCACCTGTGTCTGAGCTGTGGGGCGAAGGCGGGCGCCAAATGGTAGAGGACTTCTTCCGCTTGAATGTCGTTCCGTCGGAACAGTCGCGGGCTCGACTCCGAGCCTCGGGCGTTGTCTCTCCCTACTCCGATCCCAAGCTTAGGCGCCCTCGCGCTTTCGAAGTGTTCATGGCGGCGCTGGCCGCCCGCGGAGTGTTCGATTTTGCACGCGAGGACGGGGGGCGAGTGGAGTCGTTTTTGTAGCCAAGAAGAACGGCAAGCTAAGGCTTGTCGTAGATTGCAGGCGCTCAAGCTGTCATTTCACAGAGGCCGGGGGGGTCTCTCTCTGCGCCGGCGAGGGTCTCGCTGCCATCGAGCTCGGCGCCGACGAAGATATCTTCGTGGGCAGGGCGGATTTGAGTGGGGTTTGTTTTATACCGCAGGGGGCTCCCAGAGCCTCTGAGAACATATTACTTTTCAGCCCGTGCGGGCTGGAGCGGCAGGTTGCGCGGAGATTGGGGGTCGGGCTGTGGCTGCGCATGAGAAGGTTTACCCTGGGCCCGCTGCCGTTCCCATGGGATGGTCTTGGGCTCTTCGGTTTTGCCGGAAGATGCACGAGAGGATTGTTGAGGCAGCTGGCTCGGGCCCCAAGTATAGGATCACCGACGAGACGTGCGCCCCCGACCTCAGCCAACCATGTCACGCGCAGTATGTGGACAACTTCATTGCTATCTCGTCCGACGCGGACCACGTGAAACAGTCTGTGACTGCTGCCGTCGTTGCTCTGGAGGCCCGAGGTCTCGTCGCCCATGAGGGGGATCATGGGGGGGGGGGGGAGTGCTACCGCCAAGTTGCCGGGTTGGGTCATCGATCGAAGGAGTGGGCGACTCGTTGCTTCTCCTGAGCGTCTATGGCGTGCTCGGCTTGCTATTCGTGCTTTTTCTCGCTCGTGGTCGGGCAAAAGGTCGGGGCGTTGAAAGGCTTCTCGGACATCTGGTGTTTAATATCCTTGGTGCGACGTGACGGCCTCAGTTTGTTTTGGAGCTGCTATGGTTTTATTCGCAAGCATTACGACACGGGCTCTACCCTGTGGCCCTCGGCTCCTCGGGAGTTGAGCGTTTGGGACTCTATCTCCCCGCTCCTTTATCGTGATCTGCGGGCTGCTTGGGGTGGCGAAGTTATCGTGGTCGATGCAAGCGAGTGGGGCCTCGGTGCCTGTTCCAGCCGCTGTGGGGCCTCTCTCTGCTCGCAGGTTGGGCGTGCATCCGAGAGGTGGCGCTGGGGGCGGGGCGGTGCCCTTGGGGGCCCTCGTCGCCGCGCTGGACGCTGGGCTCGGAATGCCGCGACGGCGGCGGCCCTCGACGGGTCCACGGAGAGCGCTGCCCCTTGGATGTGCGGCCCCGACGACACTCAGGATCCGGTTCTTGACCATGGTGTTTCCGGACGTCCAGAGGCCCCTCTCGCTGGGGGTCACGCCCCCGGCGATGTCTACGGGTTCGGGAGGTTAGCTCGCGAAGGTGAGTTTCCTGAAGTTCCAGGGGAGATGATCGAGCAGGACTGGGAGGTGGCGGGGAGGTTCGAGTGGCGTAAGAAAGGCGACAAAGGCGAGAGCATCCCAGTTCTGGAGGCTCGCGCAACTCTGCGCGGCTATAGGCACCTCCTCCGCAATTGCCATCACCACGGCAAGCGTCTAGTTGTCCTCGGGGATTATATGAATGTGTCTGGTGCTGTCTCTAAGAGCCGCAGTGGAAGTCGGGCCATGATGAACGTCGCCCAGAGCATCGCCGCCCTCTCCCTGGCGACGGGCTCCTCTCTCCACTGCCGCTGGCTCCCCTCAGAGTGGAAAGCAGCCGACGGACCCTCAAGGGAGCGTTGGCACCCCGCGGCCCCCACCGCGCTGGCCGCGCGGGATGCTCGCGCGCGCGGCGCCAGCTCCGGGCACCGCGGCCTCGCTCGGCCTGGCGCCGCGGACAGGGCCCCTGCCCAGGACCCCCCAGGCGGAGTTGAGGGGGCCCCGAGCACCAGCTCCGCGCCCTGGCGAAGGGCTGGCAGCGACCTCGAGCCGGCCTGCGTCAACGGGGCACAGTCGCGTGGCCGCGCTGCGCCAGCAGCACCGCGTGCTGCGGCGCCCGGCCGCGTCGCCTGCCCCCCTGGCCTCGAGCGGGCCTCTGCGCCGCAAGGCCTCCCAGCGGGCCGCGCGGGGAGTGGCGCGGCGGGCGGCGGCTGCGCGGGTGCTGGGCATGACGGTGCTCGAGGCGGCGTGCATCCAGCCCAGGGCCCGCAACCGCTACCAGGAGATCTTCCGCGACTTCCTGTCGCGGGCGAACGGGCGGCCCCTGGCGTCAGAGGACCTGGTGGACGAGGCGATCGCGGAGTGGCTCGACGAGCTGCACCTCGACGGCGAGGATTTGAGCGCGGGCTCGTGGGCCTACGCGGCGGTGACGTTCTTCGCGGGCCTGAACAAGGCGTCGGGCGCGCTGATGCCGCGTTGCCGCCGTGCTCTACGAGGCTTCCGCAGGTTGGCGCCACCACGATCTCGATTGCCCATGCCCTACATGGTGGTGGCGATGGTGGTGATGGAGCTCATCGCCCAGCACCTCGTCGAGAGTGCCCTCGTGGTGCTCCTCATCTTCGAGCTGCGCCTGCGGCCCGGGGAGGCGTTCCACGCCAGGGCCGCGGACCTCGTGCCTCCAGTCTCGGACGTCAGCGGGGCCTCCCACTGGTGCGCGACGCTCCACGCCGCCGAGACCGAGCAGGAGTCGAAGACGGGCGAGATCGACGAGAGCCTCTCGCTGGACCTCGGCCGCCAGTCCTGCCTGGGGCCAGCGCTCAACCAATTTGCGAGCCAGCGCCTCGGGGCCAACTGGCGGGCCGCGCAGCAGAGGTGCGTTGGCGCCAGCCACCGCCTTGCTGCCCCGCTGTTCACCGGGGCGCTACGTCCGACGTGACGAAGGACTTCAAGACCGTCGTGGAGGCGCTGGGGGTCCACGCGGCCCTGGGCGCCGCCCGCGTGTACATGCTGCGACGCGGCGGCGCCTCGCACGACTGCGCCTCGGTGTGCCGCCGCCTGGGGGGCGCGCGCCGGCGCGGCCGCCGGCGTTCGTGGTCCTCGGTGAGACGCTACGAGAAGGGCGGCAGGCTCGCGCAGGTCGCCCACAAGCTCGCGCCCGCCCTGCAGGCCCGCGGAAAGCTCTGCGCGGAGCTGCTGAGCGAAGTCGTGTCTGGCCGGCGCTCTGCTGCACCCTTCGTCTCCGACAGCGCGTCTTCGTCGAGGTTTTCTCGGGGGGCGGGCACCTCTCGGAAGCGATCCCGGGCGCAGGGGTGACGGCCTTGCTCTGGGACATTAGCCTGGGCGAGAACTACGACCTTAGGTGCAGACGCAATCGCCACCTGCTCCTCGGCTGGGCGAGGGATGGGCTGGTGGTTGGGCTCCATGTAGCCACGCCTTGCTCGTCCTTCAGCGGGGCCCGAGACATCCCCCCTGGGCCCCCTCGGCCCCGAAGCGACTCGGAGCCGATGGGCCTCGGAGGGCTGTCCCAGGCCGACCCGGAACAGGTGGCGATTGGTAACATCTTGATGTTGTTTTCAGCGTCCCTTATACGTGAATGCGGGCAGGCGCAGATCCCTTGCTCCCTCGAGAATCCCGCCCGTAGTCGACTGTGGATTTGCCCAGCTACGCGTCGTCTTTCCCGGACTCGTGGCGTTAATGTCACTGCCACCGATTTCTGTCAATGGGGAGTTCCTTGGAAGAAAAGCACGAGTTTCTTATCCTCTAATCTTGACTTGATCGAGCTCGCGAACGCGAGATGTGTGGGCAGCAAGCGGGTATATGCAGTCGTGCGGGTCGTGGTCGTCAGCAGCTCCAGGGCAAAGATCTTTCCGGTAATTTCTACACAAAGTTAGTTGAACCATACCCAAAGCGGCTGTGCAAGGCTCTAGCCACTGCGTGCTACAACTCATGGGCCAAAGGTATCGGTGACTCCTTTGGGCGCTTTATGCAATAAAGAATATACGGCTCGGGCCAGTGAATTATTTTGGAGATAACAGAGTTTGCAGGTGCTTGACGATATTCGTCGCGGTCTCAGTGGCCGCTTCCATCGTGCTTGGACTCGCGGAGGCTCGGCTTCATATGCATCATGGTGTCTGGCTGAAGTAAGAGAATAGAGCTGGGGATGGCCTGTACTTGTAGGAGAATCCAGTGTCTCGCTTCGGTGCTCTGCCGCTCGACCCCCCATCGACCCGAACTGTAACTCGTTCTGTTCGCCGCGGCTGCGGTTGCTCAAGCTTCACCTCCCTTCCCCCTCCACCGCCCTGAAAAGTTTTAAGCTTGCGACTGGTTTCACGCAGCAGGTGCTTGACGATATTCGTCGCGGCCTCAGTGGCCGCTTCCATCGTGCTTGGACTCGCGGAGGCTCGGCTTCATATACATCCTGGTGTCTGGTTGAAGTAAGAGAATAGAGCTGGGGATGAGGAGGACGAGGGGGAGGACGAGGAGGAGGAAGAGGAGGAGGTGAAGAACTGATGAAGACGGAGGAAGCGCCGGAGGAGGAGGAGGAGGAAGAGAACGGAGGGAGGAGGAGGTGGATAAAGAAGGGAGGAGGAGGACGAGGAGGAGGAGGACGATGAAGAGGAGGAGACAAGAGAGAGGAGGAGGACGAGGAGGAGGAGGAAAAGGAGGAGGAGGAGGAGGAGGAGGAGGACGAGGTGGAGGAGGAGGAGGATGACGAGGACGAGGGCGAGGACGAGGAGGACGAGGAGGAGGAGCAGGAGGAGGATGAGGACGAGGAGGAGGAGGAATAGGAGGAGGGGAGGAGGAGGAGGAGGAGGAGGAGGAGGAGGAGGAGGAGGAGGAGGAGGAGGAGGAGGAGAAGAAAAAGAAGGAAAAAGGAGGGAGGACTCGAAAGAGGAGAATGGAGTGAGGAGGAGGAGGAGGAGGAGGAGGAGGAGGAGGAGGAGGAGGAGGAGGAGGAGGAGGAGGAGAAAGGAGGGAGCAGAAAGGAGGGAGGGAGAGAGTGAGGTTGGTTGGTTGGTTGGTTGGTTGGTGGTGCTCCAATTGAGCTGGCATTCGGGAGCTTCGGACGCAGCTCGCTCTCAGCACGGTGCCATGGCCTGGGGGGGGGGGGGCTCGGAAGCGTCCGTGCTGCGACGGCCGTGGAAGCCAAGCCACCACCGCAGCATGGGACGAGAGGGGAGCTGTCGGAGCTCCGACGGCGGAGACGGAACTCGCTCGGGAGTCTCCACTCTCCGAGGAAGATAGTAGTGAAGGGAACCTCGATCCTACCGAGGCTAAACAAAGGACCTGTGCAGCGGGCGCTTGGAAAAACAAGGAACTTCGGGCCCCGCAGCCGAAGGGGCCACAGGCAGGCTCCAGGAGAAACAGGCCAGAACCAAAGCCCCCGCCGACAGAAACACGCCCCGACAGGCTTCGGCTCTCCACCCCTGGCCACGCGTGAAGCGGGAGAGGCAACTCAGGGACTCCCCGCGGGGCGGGGGGGGGCCGGGCAGGGGGATCCTGCCCAGGGCTCGTCCGATCCCTCCTACGCTGCCATGTCGACGCACGACGCAGATGCGGGACGGCGACAGGAAGGGGGAAAGGAAACCACCCCAACTGGGAGGAGGAGAGAGGAGGGAGAGAGGACCCTGCCCGACCCGACCCACCCTCCTGGGAACCCAGGCGGGAGGGAGGGAGGGCGGGTGTGAACTGTTCCCTGCTGCCGCCCAGAATCGATCCGCCTCCCTCTCGATAAAAAGCGCCAGCAGGGCCGCCTGCGCGTACCCGGCATCTGTCGGGCCTGCGGAAAGGACCGCTGCAGCCGCCGCCTCCGCGTAGGAAGGCGCCAGGCCCCCTTGGGCCTCCCAGAAAGTGCGCCGGGGGAGCTCCGTGCGAGAGCACAGCTCGAGGATATGAAACGTGGGGCTCAGGGTCTGCATGCCGCACAGGACGCAGGATTGCCTCCGCGCCGTAGAAACGCTGCCAGAGGATTGGCTGAGGGCCGCAAGCCGCCCTCGTAGCCTGCTCAGCGAGCGCTGGCCCGGTATAACATCAAAAGGAAACTCTTGTTTTAGGGCCCGCGCGAGATCTGGCCTGGGGGCCGTCTGAGGACCGGGAGCGGCCTCGTGTGGAGGCACACCGTCTGCCTCAGCTCCACCTCGCAGCGCTCCGCCAAGTGAGCTCGTGCGAATTTCTCGTGCTGGCGCAAGGGCTGT